AAGGATCAAGCGAAAATATTTTGAACGAAACTCAGAAAACTGTAAAAGATCACTACTTTGTGGCAGTTATATCTAATTTCTGATTGTTATGTATATATTGACATAGAGATTAAGACGGGCTTTTTATTTTATATAAATTTCCTTTTTGGGTTTTAGTCCTTAAGTTCGGTTTAGAAATGAAGCCTCTTTCTTTGAACTTGAAGCTTCTTGTTGTTGATTTGGTTATTCTGCACTTGTTGCTAAGCTTCTCTATGGTTGTGATTTCCAATGGGTTGACTGTAGGTATTATTTTGCTGATGTCTTGCAGATGATGTTAACAAGAATGAGAGGACTAATTACTTCAATTCACCTGCAATGGATGTCTCACTTGCTTTTCCGCAAGCAACACCAGCATCTACCTTTCCTCCCTGCAGTAAGAATATTAGACTTATTAGTCCTTCACTGTACAAACATCTCGTATAAATAAATGTGCATATGTGAATGGAGAAATTCTCTCTTGTCAGTGTGCTGGCATGTTATGTGAATTTAGACAATTGATTAAATGGATTCTTGTTTGAATGTATGGAGTCCAGATTGAGTCTAACAACATAAGAAATTGGTATGTAACACATGTTCATGTATACGTATAATATACGTTGTAATTTATGCATGCATACACACACATGTACATCCATGTATGTCTTGATATTTCTGTTTCTGCATCCTAATTTATTTTCCCTACCTTGTTTCTTTGTGAATATTTTGTACACTTGAAGGCTTTAGTTGGTTGCCGTTTCCATTTGTAATTTGAAGTCAACTGGGTAGCTTCAGATAGTAACTTCCGTATTCTTTTCTCTTTGCCTTAAATATTTACAGCTTCAGACTATTATCAGTTTGATGATCTATTGACGCCTGAGGAGCAGGCTGTCAGATTGAGAGTAAGACAGTGTTTAGAGAAAGACGTTGCTCCTATTATGGCAGAGGTATTCCTTTTCATTAAACTCTTAACCATTTGGAGGTGTTTGTGTTTTTTTACATTAATGCTAAAACACTTAGTATGCTATGATGATTTAATATACATTTACAGACAATGAGATAGATCTCGGAATTTTGTTTTTTCAGTATTGGGAGAAGGCAGAGTTTCCATTTCATGTTATTCCAAAGTTTGGTGCATTGCGTATTGCTGGTGGCACGATCAAGGTACTTGATACATATCTTAATGGTTATTTTTGAATCTTGCATTTGACAATTTGGTGGATGAGGCTGTTAAACTTGTTTTTGGCCTTCTTGCTATCAGGGTTATGGGTGTCCCGGTCTTTCTATTACAGCAAATGCTTTTGCTACTGCTGAAATTGCTAGAGTTGATGCAAGCTGTTCTACTTTCTTCCTAGTTCATTCCTCACTTGCAATGCTAACTATTGGTTAGAATTTGGATAATCTTCTACTTTTGAGTTTTTGTATTTTAAATTAACAACCCTTCACTCCACCAACTAGAACTAAATATTTTTTTCTTTACCTTTAAAACGGACACTTTTTATTTTCTTGTATCGAAATACCCCTAAAAGTTAACAAAAACTGAAAAATCTGATTTCTTCCTTCGTTCATCCTTATCACTTTTGTGAAGAGAGAAAGATGCCCATTCTTATTGTTTCCCTGAAAAGAAAGGTAAGCATCGTACCCATTTGATTGTGTTAAAATTTTAATTTGTATAAAGTTTGTGATTGAAAAATATGGTGTTATGTGGTTGATTTGAAATGGAAGACACAACTTCCTTTAAAAAAAGGACAAAACACCCAACATTTTAGCTCACCTCAAATGGGCATGATGTTTTTTTTCTTTTCATGCTGAACGGCGAATGACGAGAATGGTTCCTCCTTTTGTGACAGTGAGAATGGATTTCTAGCTCTCTTGCTGACTGTGAGAATGGTTTCTCCATGAAAATGCAAGAAATACTTTATCTCCCTTAGCAGCATAGAGAAGGAAGATTCTGAGATTGATGTAGGAAGGAAGAAGTGACAGAGTCGAGGTTTTTTCATGCTGGCCTTCAAACGATAGGAAGAAGAAGAGTTTTGGTTGTATTTTTTTGCTTTTGGGGTATTTTTGGTCAAGGAATATAGAAATTTAGTCAGATATATTACTCTTCAAAAATGAGTTAAGTTTGTTAGTGGGGTTGAATAATGGTTACTTCTGATGAAAGAAAAAGACCTAGACTTTTTGTTACATATTATTTGTTGGAGTTTCTACCGATAAGTCATGACTTAATGTAACTTTTCTGTACTGCCAAAAATAGCATTATGTGGATCGGAGGCTCAAAAGCAGGAATATTTACCTTCCTTGGCCGAATTAAAAACTGTAGCCTGCTGGGTAAGATCCTCTATTATGAATATTTGTATTTGATATCTTTTGTATGCTAATGTCAAGATCTCAAATCTGCTCGTCTGCATGTTAAAGGCTTTGACTGAGCCTGACTATGGAAGTGATGCAAGTGCCTTGAGAACAACAGCAACAAAGGTGGTTTCAACCTTTCGATCTGCTTCTTTATTTATGTTAAACGCAAGTGTCATGGCTTTTGTTTTTGTTTTTGTTTTTTGGGTATCATGGCTATGATCTCATGCTATGCCACGTTTCTTGTTTGTTTGAGGTCATCAGGTGGAAGGCGGTTGGATACTTGAGGGCCAAAAGCGCTGGATAGGGAATAGTACCTTTGCTGATGTATTGGTTATTTTTGCTAGGAATACAACAACAAATCAGATTAATGGGTAGGAAATAGCACCTGTGCTGATGTATTGGTTATTTTTTCTAGGAATACAATAAGAAATCAGAGTAATGGGTACATAAAACATAAAAATGTATAAAGTCTCTCTATATGTGTTCGAAACTTGTTTGTTAAGCTTAAAACATGAATTATCTCTTTCTCATTATTTCTCTCATTGCATTGGTATTGAGATGCTTAGGAGTCAGGGAAAATTAGTGTGATGGTTTTCCATAGCAGCATCCTCATGTTGAATGTATTTCTTTTCCCTTCTGTTTCAGATATATAGTAAAGAAGAATGTCCCTGGACTGACTGCTACAAAAATAGAAAATAAAATTGGTTTGCGAATTGTTCAAAATGGAGATATTCTCTTAAAGAAAGTCTTTGTCCCTGATGAGGACAGGTTACCTGGTGTTAATTCTTTTCAGGATACTAGCAAGGTATGCTGCAACAAGAATTGATTCTTCAAATAGTTTATTTTGCTATGCTCTCTCTTTTTTTTTTTGCACGTGTCAAAATGGCTCTATGAGTATTTATTGATTTAATGTTGCCTTAAACTACCGAAACAGGTTCTTGCTGTTTCACGTGTCATGGTCGCCTGGCAACCTATTGGTTTATCTATGGGAGTCTATGATATGTGTCACAGGTAAAAGACGAATACCTATGCCTCTCTCATCTTCCATCAAGTGTACTTTCCAAGTTTCCAGTGTTTCCTAGTCTGAGTTCTAAGTAATTGAAAGGTATCTGAAGGAGAGGAAACAATTTGGAGCCCCCCTTGCAGCTTTCCAAATCAACCAAGAGAAACTTGTTCGTATGCTGGGTAATGTTCAAGCTATGGTACTTATAGGTTGGCGCCTCTGTAAGTTGTATGAGAAGGGTAAAATGACTCCAGGTCACGCTAGCTTGGGGAAGGTAAGACAAAATGACATCCTGATGCATTCAGTTATCTTGTTGCTTATCCATTCTGTAATGAACTTTTGTAATTTTCAGGCATGGATTACTCTGAGGGCAAGGGAAACAGTTGCTCTAGGGAGGGAATTACTAGGTGGCAATGGAATTTTAGCTGATTTTCTTGTTGCAAAGGTTATCATGCTTATCTCTCAATTAATAGTTTTTATTTCTGAACCTAGAGAAGGATTGGATCATACAAGGATTTGATTAGTCGCATTTTCAAGCTAGGATTCGAAGGCAGTGTTAGATTTGAGTCCAAATTTGCTCTCTATGAAACCGACTTTTATGCGTAATCCTTATCTTTGTTGGTAAAAGAATTGGCAACGTTTGCTATGTATATTTCTAAGTGAGAATCTGGTTTCATGAGATTTCAAACCTGCAACTGATTTTTGTTATATATGTACACCTTTCAGTTGTTTCTGTCACATGTTAATGTTTTCCTCTTTTGGGTCGCTATGCAGGCTTTCGGTGATTTGGAACCCATTTACACTTTCGAAGGCACTTATGACATCAACGCCCTGGTGACAGGTAGGGAAATCACTGGCATTGCCAGCTTCAAGCCAGCCGCATCGAGCCAACGAAGCCGCCTGTAGCTGTGAAGCTTCTCTGAATTTCCACAGCTCTCGGGACAACTTTGTTTAATTAGTAACAGGGTAGGCTGATGCCAAGGTGGTTTTAAATAAGAAACAATCATGAGACATGGAGTGAATGCATCTATCGGCGACCACAACAATAAATTTGCATTATAAATTCTTCTTGTTGAACATTGTATTCTCATAGTTATGAAAGAATAAATCTTAGCAGAAACAAATCTCCCGTCACCAAACTAGAGTTTACCCTGAATCTTTTGTAGGCTTACACCTTGCATTGTTGTTATGTCTCACAATATCTTGGGGAGTAGTAAGGTGGGCCGGCGCTTCCATAAGTCTGAGTCAGGACATGTTTTGCGATGCAATCAACTTGGTGTTCTCATCTTTTCACCAAAATGACATAAAGAAATAGAACTTTATGAAACTTAAGCTTAAAGCTTGCTGAAACTGGGTCAATGGAAAGCTTGCACAGGCGTTGTATCGTATGGACCAAAACCTCTCATGACCCTAACCAAAACAAATTCGCACGAGCAGTCGTTGGTTTGGTTGGGTGTTTGGAAGATAAGGCTTAAAGGGGTAGCTAAACGTCACAAGCAGTTGCAACTAGCATCTTTGATTGCAACTTCTAAAGTGTCTTCTTCTTCCCATCAATAGAGCCGTTGGGCACCCAGTTCTCAAAAATACCAGTGCCCAAAAATACCGGAAAAACAAAGTAAAAAACAAAGTGTACATAATTCAACTCGAAATCACCATGATTATATTCCATTTAGATAAATTAAGCAACATTAAGCCTCACCTTAAACAATTTTTCATCGAAGCTTGCAATGGTACTAACTAACCCACCATTACTTTTTCTTCAAAAATAACAAACTCCATTTCCTAATTAACGATACACTTTCCCTTTCCTTTTTTTATCAATTACCAATTGGACTCTTACCACCACCACCGCCATTCAATTCCCTCTGTTTGTTGGCGTCTCGCTCCAAACCCAAACTCCTAATTTTCAGCTGAAACTGCGCCACCGCCCCCAAAAACCTCACCGCCTGAGCCGAGCTCAGCATATCCACCAGCTTTGTGGCCATCGTGGTTCTCAGCAAGTTCGAATTCGCCAGCACAGACTCCAATGCCGATTGCAACTCATCGATCGCCACGTCCTCCTCCACGATCTCGCCGTTCGCGAACCTCCCGTACCGCCGCGCCACATCCACCAGCGGCGGCGCTGCCACGCTCTCGTGAATCTTCGCCAGCTTGTCGTTAAGCGCGCGCTCCTCCACCCGGGTCTCCTCCATCAGCCGGGCCATCCTGACCCGCTGCCCGTCGCACAAATCGGGCACCGACTCGGTCAGGAGCCGGAATGCGAGACCCGGTTTGTACCCGGCTATCCAAAGCAGGGACCTTTCGAACGAAGTGAACCACGGGGGAGAAAACACTAGGAAAACATCGCGCTGGGCAATCCTCGATTTTTCGTCATAGTACTGCTGATAATGAAGAAGAACCCGATACACCAAATCTCTGAGGTCTTCGTCTCGGGCTTCATTGATTCGTTGTTGGGCCGAGAGAAGTTCGTCTAAGAAATGTTCTTGGCGAACCAGCCAGGCTTCAAAGAATGCCCCGAATATGTTTGATATTGAGCCGCTGTCGGACCTGTTAGTCATAGAAAAGAAAAGGCCAAAACAGGGAAGGTGGGTTGGTTGTGTGGGATTTTAAGACAAGGAAGAAGAGAACAGAGAGAAGGGAATGTTTAAATAGGAGCTGGGATTTCAAAGGTGGAATGTATAGTGTGGGTCTTTGGCTGTATTTCGCTTTGTGGGCAAGTAATGCTAATGGTAATAGAGGATACTTCGAGAGCAAGGCTTATGCATTTGGTTTTGTACTGGGCTGAGCCCTCTCTAAGAGACGCGTGTGAAGATGAACGCCATTATAGAAGAGAGATTTTAGGACTGCGTGTGACAAGTGAGTGAAGCGTGATATTAAACGGTGGCTTTCAATTCGGCCACTAAAAAAAACACCGACCGACTGATGAGAGAGAGAGAGAGAGAGAGAGAGAGAGAGAGAGAGGATGATCTCGGTGGGTTTTGTCGTTTAGTGTATTCAGAGAGGTGCGAAGAACAAGTGCAGAAGAGGAAAGGGAAGGGAAAAGGCTCAAAAGAGGCTTGTGATTATGAATTGTGATTCTTTGTTCATCACATGTGTTTTTGTCAGAGGCAGCTTTGATTTGACAAGAAAGGAAGGGGTTGAAGGGTTGAAGGGTTGAAGTGGGGTTGGTTTTGTTTGATGCGAAATGAAATGAATGGCTTCAATTCAAGGCTCAAGGCAGAAATGTGGCTTGGCTGCTGCCATGGATAGATAATTGGCTGACGGGGCAACACGTCTCAAGGCCGCAAAGTGGAGAGATTGTGTGAAGACAAGTCATCGTTTTTGGGAAGAAAAAAATAAAGTCATCGTTTTTGGGGAGTTAAAAACCCTCAAGGGAAGGACGCCTTTCCAACAGACAAATGTTTTTTGATGCAAGTGGGTTAATGGCTAGGAAGGGAGGGGGGCAAAGTACCAAAAAAGAAGTTGAAGGGTGCTTTCTTTGTTTTTTTTGGTCTGAAAAGTTGAAGGGTGCTTAGGCACAGGGTTTGTGTGTGTGATGATGGGACAAACTAAATAAAGGGGGCAGTTCCAAGTGATTTTGCATGCAGTGAAGTTGGGGGCCGGGTGGCAGTTGGCTTGACTTTTAATGACGAGAAATTGGCTGGAGGATGAGAATTTGAGCAACAAGCAGTTAATTGGACTTTGTTTTGCTACTTGTTTACTCGTACCAATTGATGGGGGTGGTGATATTTTAGGAGAAGCTTGTTTTGCCAATTGGCCATGTTGATCGGCCAACCGCGGTAAGTGGTGGCTACTACATGGCTAGGAATTTCCAATGAGGTTTAGACTTGTGTCATCTTAGCAACAATAAAACCATCTGTAACACCAACACAAATAGATCGATCATTAAATTGCATCTGAACAAAAATTACATCTCAGCTTTATGGAACCACCAATCAACAAAAACCCATTTCACAGCTTTGGTTTAAAGAAAAAAGAAAGAAAGAAAGGCTATGGAATTTGAAATCACATATGGAATGGGGATTAACCGAAGCTTTTAGACTCCCAAGTACACAAATTACGCGTGAGAATTACACGTCAGAAATTCCTTAACTAGACTTGATACAGAGAGAGTGAAGGTTTGATCATGGAAACATATCCAACATACAACATAGACAACCCATCGCATCGGTCAAATATGAAGAAATACAAGCAGTAAGAAGCACATTTCCTAAGCAAAAGCACCTAATAGCAATATAGGCTAGCCTCAATGTTGAACAAAACAGAGTGATTTCATGAAGCTAAACGAAACTTGCCCTGCTAATGATCATCTTTTCTTGAAACCATACTTTTTCCGTTCGTAGAAAAGATCTGTTTTGGCACTTCCCAGATTCACAATTTTCGGACACCCATCTCTATCTTTCTCCTGCTGAGTACACTCTTTGCAGTAATAAGCATCAGAAATTCCAACCCCTCCGCAGATAACACACCTTCCCTGGAAGGATCCGTAGTTGCACTCATCGCAGACCCGAACAAGCGTGCATGGACGCACATAAGAGTCGCAGATTACACACTTACCATCACATTTTTCACACAACCTTCCAATAGCTATTCCTGGTTGCTTCCGGCACATAATCAGATCAGGATGATGCTTTGCCATGTTCCTGCAACAAGACTATGCTTGTCCTACAATAGATGCACCCTGAATCATCCATACATGGGTGTCAGTGATCTCCCAAAGAGAAGAGAACAAGCAGCAGCATTGCAGTTTATAAATCAACAAGATCAAAACTGAAATTGACTAGTGCAACTTGGTTATAAAATCCACTAGATTTTGTGCCCAAGTTCAGATTATTTACAAAATCAATTGCAATGCTTATGATAATGATAGTTCCAAACAACATATTTCTTAATTAATCATGTTGACGGGGCTAAAACCAACAAGGCTTTTGTGTTTTGGTTATGTTTATCAATAAACTTCAAAGCTGATTCCAAAAATTCAAAACTAACCCATTTTGCAAATCTGCATAATTTCAATAATCAACAGGGCAAGTAAAACAAAGAAAATGAGCTATCTGCTACAGTTCATGCCAAAGTGGTAGCATGCCAGAGTGTTCATATTCACAAGTCATGCAACCTATGGTGCAAATTAACATGGAGAATCAATCGACTACGATGATTTGCAAATTATTTTCTGTAGCAATACTCACTTATACAGAGAAACAAAAATAATTACAGTGGTTTAATTTCATAACATGAATTCATCACAGGGTAACAACTAACAGAGAATGTAGCTAAACCACGAAAATATTTCATTCACAGTCAAGGAAAAGCAGTTTATTGCCCCATCATTACAAAGGATGAACATGTCTCATTTTCTTTTGGTTGAATGTTTCCTTTTGGGTCTAAATTTTCTTTCAACTTAGGGGTGATTGTGATGTTTGTCTAATTCCCAATGTCAATTTTTTTACAGAAAGCAAAATTTGGGCTCAATAAGAGTGTAAACGAATCTACATAATTTGAACAGAACAGAACAACTCAAAGGGAATGCGGAAGATAATGAGATGTAGAAACATGGTAATCAAATGCGCATTTGGCCAGAACTTTTTAATATTAGTTGTATAAATCAAATTAAGCAGCGGTTTCTACAAACACGAAAACTAGAGATGGAGAACGAGAAGCAAAAGAAAAAACCATTCCTTACCGCAGCTGGAGAGTAGAGGAGAGGACTGATGAGAGCGAGGATAGCTGGAGGGGACTCGGAGGAGGGGCTGTTACTGTTCGAGATGAGAACAGAAGCGGGGGATTGGCCCGATTCGGAATAGGAGTGGGGCACGGCTGACTGAGAGAACGAGAATAGGGTTTATGTTATTTCGTTCCTCTTTCCTATCTTTTTCTGTTTTTTGGGGGTATATAAAGACAAAATAATGTTTAAAACAATAAATAAAAAAAATATTTTTGAGTGTTCAAACACTAATAAGTTAGTAAGTTAATTAACTAATTCAGTTTGGCTTGCTTCACAATATAAGTAGAAGAGGCTCACCCACCCACTAAAAAGTTAGTAATGGTGGTGGTGATCGCAACAATAGTGATGGTGGTGGTGGTAGCCGCCGTAGCGATGGTCGTGTCCATGGCAAGGTGGTGGCAGTGGCAGAGCCAGACTCGATTACATATGAGGGGCTAATTAGAATAACTTTTTCAATTTTTCTAAATTATTACATAATTAGATGTTAAATGATGAATGAGCTATATGGGGTTGGGGAGGCCATGGCGACCTCAGGCATACACCTAACTATGACTCTAGTTGTGGTAGTAGAGGTCATGATGGTGGAGGTGGTGGCGATCATGGCGTTGGGGGTGGTGGCAATAGTAGTGGGATTGATGGGGAAATTTTACCTAGTCGTTTTAAAATTGTCACCCTTGTGGAATTTTAGAAATGACATCTACTTAGATGAATTTTAAAATTGTACTTATTGAGTAAATGTATTTGAATCTCAAATATACCACTTCTCCACCCTTCCCTAACCCATTTGAGCAACAACTCATGTCCAAATGTATTGAGTGCTTTAGCGGCTACAAAGAGAAGTAGACCTGAACAAGTTTTTAAGTAACTTAAATTACGTTTAACCATAAACCGCTTGCAATCAACTTGTATATATATCTCATGAATTACAAGGTTTAAAACAACAGTAACATAGTATTACATTTTCCACCATTTTCCAAAACTATCCATTTGAAGAAGTTCACAATGATGTTGTTAAACAAGTCTGCACAAGCGAGGCCTAGAACAGAATTGCCTTCCATTAGCTTTCACCACTGCCGCTATTCCAGCAGTCACCCCAGCCCAAAGCACAGAAGACATAAATTGCTGTGCATTTCGCCCCGCTGAAAATAGGATATAAATTTTTTCATGTCTTAGTGAACATAGAATAAAACTCGCACACAGATTCCATTGTAATAAAGATTACAGACAGACATAAAAGAACAGCAATACCTTGCTGAAGTGTTACAGATGTCAGCGTCAAACCTCCAATTAACAAAGCTGATGCCACCGGTAGATACTGCAATAATTGTACTTCCATTAAAACTTGACTATAAATTCAATAAACCATCTTAAAAGTGGCAACAACAATCAAATGGCATGCAGGCCTCAGCTAATACACTCCTTCCTACTGTTTTTATGCTTTGGTAATTTAGTAAACAAAAGGAGAATTCGAAGCATAAAATAAGGGGAAGAGTGCAAACAGACAAAACGAGAGTCTGAACGTCGCTACCTTCACCGTAAAGTGATGAGTTAAAATGAAGATGAAACGAAAAGATTTTCTTGTTATACTGAATGTTGCAGGACTTGAATAACAAATTGTAAAGAGCTGAAAATGGACAACAAAATTATTGGGGCACTAAAATTTCTCAGAAAGATTCCAAATACTTACAGAAAAAGAATCAGTCTGGAATGGTGAACCATCCCTTCTAACTGTATAGCGGCCACTGATAAGATCCATAGCATCCTGAAAACATTTGAAACTATTTAAGCAACTACGATTAACTAGCAGTTACTCTCTTCTATACAGAAGCGATATTTCATATTGAGAAAGATAGAGGCAGGCAGATTACCTGCCGAATGCCATCATGAAAATTATTCAAATAATATCTTGAAAGAGCACTCATCCCATCTTTCAGTATTCCTCCAAATGTCTGTTTTCCATATCTGCGGTAATGTGGACTCAGTGTATGATACAAAAAGGATATACATAGTTACCATAATTCTTGAAAATTATAGTATAAGTTGAACGCACCTAACCAGGTCCCCTTTCAGGGCATAAGTCCCAGCATATTCGAGGCTTATCTCGTCACCTTGCTCAGCCCACACTAAAGCAACAGAGTTCAGTATAAGGCTAAAAAATAACTACAGACATCGTCTGACTCATTATGGAACATGGGATATAATATAATAAGAATTCCATACATGCTCTAAATTTTTGATAATCTTCTGCAAACATAGAAATGCATTCAGAAGAATCAAGCACTCCAATCCTCTGCAACTGTGCATCTAGAGACTTCTGAGCCAAGTAACTCTGCATAATAAGATTTGGAGGAAGCAGTAAAAAATATTAAAGCTCATTTTAATCATGGCCAGCACAAATCATGAAAAGCAATTACACTAGATAATTCTCATATAAACCTGAGTAACATTCGTCCTATCAAGGCAATCAATGCAGTTAGATCTGACAATCCCTTTCTGCTCCTCCAGTATGCTTCCTTTCGCATCTATGAGCAAGTATCTGCTCCGCTGGAATAGTAATGATTAAAAACAGTATTACAGAGAGCCAGCATACCTGGATATGGGCATAGTTAATTCAATCTGACATTACGCTTTCATTACCCTTGCTTTTCAAATTGCTCCGAGATTTGCTCATATAAAAGCTTTAGGTTTTCAAAGTTTGAGTTCCCACAGACATGATGAAAGTCAAATGAAATGTATCTGCAATAAACACAAAAACTATTAAGTCAAAAACAAAATCTCAATTCCAGACGATAGATTATTTATAACAAGAAAAACAGAAACATTAAGCTAGTGATATAATTAGTAGCCAATGGGTGAAGATAATGACAAAATGGAGGCTTGAATACGTAAACAGAATAACAAAAAAGAAATCTACTTGAAGTGGGAGAGTGACTCAGTTGGGGATCAACATAATTACATACAAAAAAGTGCAAATTGTCACCTCACATTTGGCAGATTTTGTGCTTCGGCAGAAAATGCCATGCTTAGTTGACCTTCATCACCATGCTACAGATAAAATAAATGGAAACTGGTATATAAACTGGAAACATATGAAACAACATATATCTCGCATAACAGTTAAACTAAAAGGAGGTCAAACTTGTGTAGCACAAATAACTAGAATTTAAAAATAAAAATAAGTAAAAAAACTGTCATATTCAGCAAATCCTGGAGCCACAATGGTGATTCTGTCTTATGAACAAAATTTGTAATCTTTTCAGCTGGCCAAATTCTTCCTCTTCACAGATATAGTAGCTTAACAGTGAAGCTAAATTAGTGTGGAAGATTTATTCTTTCAAAGTATAACGTAAAAGAGAAGAAACCCTTACTTTATCAGTTAGGTCTACAGCTATTATCTCTCCATATCTTTGGAAAAGATCAAAGAAATGGCGCTCCACAACATTTGACTGCAGATAGATGGGAAAATTCAAAACACAACTCTAACAAGGGAGCTGCACCGAAGCCAGAAGAAAAGAGAAAGGACGGGTGGTTGCATATTGGACAAAATTTACCGTCTGCTCATGATCAATAACTTTAAGTTGTGGTTTATAGCTCAAGTCAACAATTTGCTCCCAAAGAAGTGGAATTGAACCTCGAATCTGAAAACATATGAAAAAGTATAATGCATTTTTTTTTTTAAAAAGAAAAAGGAAATAAGTCTTCTCATATTAAATGATGACAATAAATGCTCAAAACCTTCTGTCTACTATCAATCTAAGGATTGATTGTGAAACAGCTTATGCCATTTAGAAAGTACTTTATCTAGAAGTGTCTAGATGCACAAAAATTGGAAATATGAATCCGTCCTTGTTAAACTATACATTTGTTTCACTCATGTGAGGGCCAGTTCATAAAGATTAGAAAAGAGAAAAAAGTTCTACCATTATGATTTTGCTCAGATAAAAAAGGAGCACTGATTATACTTTTCCAAAAAATTTCATCCTCAGCCAACTTAGTTGATCATGTGTGTAATGAGCCCAAGATATAAGCTGATGCCCTATTAAACTTAGGAACATAACGTAAATGTACATATTCAGTTACAGAACTGCTAATACTATTCCCTAAGCACACAATTATTTTCTGAACCTCCAAATTGGGATTACCTGCAATAATGAGGACCTGAAACCTTCACACTCCACCAACTGCTCAGTTTCAATAAAATTAGCTACATCTCCTTCAAGGTTAGCTCCTCTTCTCCACATTCTTGTGCCTGGTGACCACATTATAGTATCTCATGCTTAGATCTTTTATAACTAGTTGATACAGACACAAAGTCTACAAGAATCAATCATCTCTATAAAATTGTACCTAGACGTCGCGTACATCTCCTTGAGAATATTGTAAGTGTGGCAGGTGAGCCTTTTAGCTTAAGCTGTGCAGCCTGGAAGCTTAAATGTAGGTTAAAGAAATACCATACCATTCCCCAATTGAATATATTACAAACCTAATTTCAGAATCTTCATCCCCCTTACATGGGCGCACATATGAATAGCACAGAGAGAGAGAGAGAGAGAGAGAGAGAGAGAGAGAGAAATCTTAAGTAATAGACATAAGGAACCAGTAGCTTCAGGATATTTCCTTGTAGTATAGGAATAATGAACCCATCAAGCTGCCATGAGAGAATAAATGTGAATCAGCGAAAAGTTTTCTGAGTTTGAAGAACTGACAACTTTTGGAAATGTCTTTGTAACCTTATACTCAATAAGTTCGTCCAAAAGATTTCTGTTCCAAACAAATCGAGGGTCAGCCTGGAAACAAAAACAAAATTAAAAGCTCAAACTCCTGACCTAGCAATTAGTAATTATAGATCATATTGTAAATGAGAAAAACATTTGACGGGGACTAAAATAGCATAAGAAAAAGATTGGAAAATATCCATGAAAAGTAACATTTCTCTCCTCTATCTCCTTCTCTTTCTTTAAAATTCACTTCTTGGTTTATGACCAAGCATTTCCCCCTTCATCTCTGTTCTATCCCTTTCTCTTTTTTCTTCTATTCTTTCTAGTTTCCTTCTCTCAAAGCTCTCCTCTTGGTTCTATGCCAGCTAGCCCTTCTTTTCCTTTTTTTCCCTCTCACTTAGACAGAGTTGAGAATACCTGTAAACTAAACCCGAGGCCTAATATCCATCACGTTACATATATGGGACAATAGCTTATATGCACCTGATATATCTGACATGGATTACTTCCAGGAAATAATCAATTCAAGATAAACCAAATACTCCACGTTTCCAACTAACCTGCTTCCATATTGGTTTGGCCATCCATCCTTCCATTAACTTATGTCTTCTTTGAAAACTGGTAGAAATGATCAAATATGTGTAATTAGCGTAAATTGACATGATACTTAACCAAAAAGAAGCACAAACTTGCATGATACACGTCTGAATGTAATCACAGAATAATGACGAAAACAGCGGTATTCTACTCAAACAGCACCCTAATAGGTATGAAAACTTTTAAATTGTGTTTGAACACTAGGTATAAGAATTTACTTTAATGTAATATCTGTTTGGTAAGAAAAGTACAGCCCTGGAGTTGATTGGACTGTTTTCAACAGAGCCATGAAGTAAGCTTCATCCTTTTTCTGCACAAAGACATCAGAAGCTTTCAGACAAGACTCAAAACTCTAAAAATCCCGAGAGACGCTCAAATTAGCTTTGTATTATCGATTAAAAGAAGTAAAAATAAAAAAACTTCACCTCTTGAAGAGTTGAATTCTTCAAAACCTCATTGCAGGACAGAAACTTCATAGAGGTTACTCGGTAAACAGGGAAGCCAAGAAAGGCCCCGACTTCGGTCCTCGAAGTTATTACAAGTACATAATTTCCTGCACCAAATACATGAATTATTCAAAGAAACATCATTGCATCTAAATAGCTCAAGCTGAAATTCAAGATGCAAGTTTTCAAAACAAAATCCAATACACAAAATCTGCCAAGCAATTAACTACCTGCAAGCAATCTGATGGTTCCCGCCACACCATATATCGTAGAGGTTTTGGTTGGTCTTGCAGAAGAAGAAGAAGAATCACCTTCTAATAATAAACAACAAGCACATGAATTCAGAAAAATTAGAAAAAATTGAAATTCCATCAATAAAGCTAAAAAATTTATACCATTAAGTGGTTCAATGGTCCCGTCACGGCGGTCGATCGAGAAGCCTTGATATGGAGCCTCGACGGATTTGATCACGAACTTGTCCTGAAACTCTTGCAATTCTAACTGCTCGTAGAGCTTGAATTTAGCTCTAGGACAAGATCCACCGTCCATTTCCGCAAACACAATAACTCTAAAATTATCGTTCTATATTGATCGAAGAAGAAAATGGTGGTTGCCAATTTGGAAATATCCAATTTACAGACTCCTCCCTCTGTTTTAGGCTTCAGCTGATAACCAATGTCGAAGACGATGAAATGTATTAAATGACGTTATTACCCCTAATGACTTTGTGATTGTTCAGGGATTTGGAGACAATTGAGGGAACAAAATCATAATTTTGTAATTTACCGTCTGTGAGCCGTGAGGGCAGGGGCAGCTGTGAGATGCTTGGTTTTCTGCGTCTATGCAAGAGCAATGATTATCTACGTACAACTGTACCGTAATCAGTTACAACAGATATGCTCGAGCTCGAGGTGACAGGAGTGGATGACGTGGCAACATCTGGGTCGCGTCAAAGAGTCAGTGCGCTGAAAATGAAAGGTATATATTATTGTGCAAGCAAAAACACTTTGCATTGCGTACACGTACTCTGAACCTTTTTCCTTCCTGTGGGTTGAGTAAGACTTGGAAACAGGAGATGGACTGCCTTAAAGCGTACAGCCGCGCGGCTATACTCCTTAAATATATTATTATATTATGTTCACGGGATATAGCCGGGCGGCTATACTGAGGTATTTTGTTTTTTCTTTTTAAAAGTTTGTATAAGGGGTATAGCCGCCTGGCTATACGGAGGCCCTTTTTAAATTTTTTTAAAAATAGTATAGCCGCGCGGCTATATTATTATAATCAGCCGATCGGCTATACTCTTTAAATATATTATTATATTTATATTTAAGGAGTATAGCCGCTCCGCTCAGCTATACAGAGGTCTTTTTTTTTTTTTTTTTTTTTTTTCTTTTCTTTAATTTTTTTTAAAAAAAAATATTAAAACAAATTCCCACAATAATAATATTCTTCTTTTTGGTTTGAACTTCAAGTGCGTAATTTGGAAGCTATTTGGCAGGTTTTTAAAACTATTAGGTGTATAAGATTATTATGACTTGTGTTTGTTTATATATAGCCTATTTATTTATTTTGGGTAAATTTCATTCTAATTCGTGGAATAGGAAAGAAAGCAAAGCCATGGCCTTGTCATGACTTGCGGATTTAGGCCTCAATATGCTAATTTCTAACTCTCATTAATTTCTAAGAGAATGCCGGTGTTGATGCCTTGTTGCAAATGAACTATAATGAATTCTTGAAGATGCGAGTTTCTTTTGAATTGGGTTACACAAAAATGCGGCAATTGTGAGACGAGTGGCAGGCGCTCTGGATTCGAAAACGATGAATTTGTCACAACCGGCAGTCGTGCCAAAACCTGCTTCTTATTTTTATTTCATTGCAGTTTGTTATTTTTATAACTTTTAGTACTGTAATTGTGTGAACTCACTTTTTCTCTCTGTCTCTATTTTGGTCATCAGTTTTGTCAGTTTACGTAATTAACAAAAAAATATTTAATTTAAATGTAATAAGATTATGCCCTAATGACGCATTTGATGTAATTATTTTATAATTAAGTAAATTGACACAGTATGAACAGAACTACATGATGGATGACTTGTGCACTGACACAGGATGAACAGAACAACATGACTTCCCCAAATCCCCCTTTATTTCTCATCCATTGTATTCAATTGCCCCTTCCTCCACCCCTTTCCTCTTATCTCCTTCCCCCCCAACCTACTCTATTCAAATCCCTTCTCTACGGTCTCGGTATTGTCCCTTCCCGCTGAAATTTTCCCCTCCTTATTGATCTGGCTTCACCTTGTGGCTGCTTCGGCTAGCCCAACAAGAGATTTTTTCGCGTACAACTGTGAAGATGCGTAGAGTCCGAGCTTTTGCTCTTGCTCGGGTGCTTGCACCACCTCCTTTTACTATGTTGATCTTTGTTTGGTTTTTGTGTTCGTTCTAGTGATTTGTCAATTTTGATTTGGAAGGTGATAATCTTCATGTGGCTGGCTTCTTTTTTTTTTTGGTCATATTTATGTAATATGTGAGATTTTAAGGTATTTGTGCGGATATATGGGTTGTGGGGTTTTTTTCCCAGTGATGTCGTCTCAGGTGTTGACGACGGCGGCTCGGTTGAGTTTTGTTTAGGGTTTGTTTGCTATCTTGGCCTTGATTTGGGCTTAATGCCTTTTGGGCCTTAAGCTTGTTGCTTTTCTTTTGCATTTTATTTGGGCCTCTTGCCTTTTTGCTTTGTTGCTAAGCTCAGTTAGCTGTTGTATTGTTGTGTCCTTTTGTGGGTTTCTAATGAAATCTACTTCCGACCCATAAAAAAAACTCATAGTTATCATGGGGTTATGAGCTTCCCCCCCTTATGTCCCAGACTTCAATTGAGTTCCTTCTCGTGGACAGCCATTGTTGAATGCAATGTCACTATAGCTGCCGTCATAATCCCCACCGTTTAGGCCGTTCCATCTCATTCCATGCTTGTCTCCTTGCTTGCATAATGATAATGTTGTGTAGTTAAACAGCTTTCCGTAAAGTACCACAACCACAAAGCTGTCCCTGCGACATACGGGTCGCAAGAAACAAAAACGTTAACTACTTGGGTTTTGTAATATGGAAGTTAAATCGGGTTCTTGCATATATAATTTTGGACTCCATATAAGAGTCATATTAGTAGATTCCCCCACTCAAAATCGGGTTCTTGCATTTGACCCATCAACTAAAAGGCTTAATAATTTTAGAGAACGAGTCTTAGGTCAAGAAACAATTTCAATATTTGGGAATAATGTTGATTAAAGGTGTTAGGTTTTTCTCTTGGCATAAAAAATATAAAAAAAATATAAAAAAAAAAACTCATAGGAATAGCACGAGACACATAACTGTACAACTTGTAGAGACTTATTATTAAAAATTATTTGTATCATAAGCCTACCCCTTACATGTTCAACAGAAACAAAAATATGATTGATGCCAACATCACCAAGGACTAGGCACAATCCAAACGGCTGGTGAATAACTAAAGTTATTCGCTCCAGTTATAGAGTATTGCTTAACAACTTTAGTTTCAAAGTTGTACACTCCTCGAACATGAATATCAATAATATCACCACCATGTGAATGCTCATGATACTCATCTGCGAAGTAAATTGAGTTTTCTTTCAATTTTGGCAATTTCTGGGTGGATAATGACATTGCCGGTTGATTTTTGGCCAAAAATAAAGCACAATCACGCAAACATTCCACCTTCTCCCACGTTTTGGCAGCAATGTTTAACTCGTAGACATCAAATTTCTCTGTTCCTCTGCCATTGTCCCCCAACCATTCTCGCTCCACAAGCAAAAGCTCGCCCATTGACTCCACCAACCATTTTTTATCCCCCATCATGGTTCCGTGAAAACCATTCCGAGCCATGGAAGGTCGAAAATGCATGATCTTCGTGGGATTATTATTATTATAGGTGTCCCCGAAGTCCCAAACTTGAATTGAGTGGTCTTTGGACAGTGCAAATAAATGACCATTGTTGCGTAGTAGGATATCAAAATAATGATCATGTGAACCCTCTAATTCAGTCCATGCTGTAGCGTTTTCTCCTCCTCTGCCGTGCTGATAGAATGCTAACCTTGTCGGTACGTTCAAGGTCTCATGAATTACCACAACGACAAAGTTGTTGTTGCGAGAGGGGTCTGAGGAAAGCACAATTTTACGGATTGGAGACCCACGCGGCAAGGAAGGAAGCGTCCTGCTTTTTCTAGAAATTGGATTGAAAAGACGAATTTCGCCCAATGTCCAAGCCCTCTTCCCCATCACCAGCCACCCATGTGATGAACCCAAAAAGGAATCGACTCCAAGAAAGCCTTGAGACGCTTCCGTCTTGTAAACCTTCTTCTCTGCAAGGCTGGAGAAGCATATGCCATTCCCAATCCAACCCCATCGCGTGGAGGGGTACATGAGCCCTGGATATTGAGGCAACGGGGCGGAGATATACGATCTTGCAGCGCCGTTCCAAGAAGAACAGACCGCTTTGAAGCGACTGATGAAATTAGGAGCGAGCTTTTTCACGATCAACCCTAACAGCTCAGTTGGGAGCTCATCAGCCCACTTATTTGGTGTTGTGCTTGAATATTTTAGCCTCCTCCTTTTGGCGGAATGAGTAGAAGCCATAGCGATTGCTGCTGCTGCTGATGATATTGGGATATGATTCCCAAGTATTTACAGGTATTTATAGGCGGCGCTTATGATATAATTCCTATTTGAATTAGGATATAGAGTCTTTTCCCATCCTAATGAGGATTTGTATTTAAAGAGATCTTTTCCCCTCCTAATGAGGAAATATCCAATTTACAGACTCCTCCCTCTGTTTCAGGCTTCAGCTGATAACCAATGTCGAAGACGATGAAATGTATTAAAAGACGTTATTACCCCTAATGACTTTGTGATTGTTGAGGGATTTGGAGACAATTGAGGATCATAATTTTGTAATTTAACGGCTCAGGGGCAGCTGTGAGATGCTTGGTTTGCTGCGTTTCTGCAAGAGCAATGATTCTCTACATACAACTGTACCGTAATCAGTTACAACAGATCTGCTCGAGCACGAGGTGACAGGAGTGGATGACGTGGCAACATCTGGGTCGCGTCAAAGAGTCAGAGCGCTGAAAATGAAAGATATATATTATTGTGCAAGCAAAAACACTTTGCATTGCGTACACGTACTCTGAACCTTTTTCCTTCCTGTGGGTTGAGTAAGACTTGGAAACAGGAGATGGACTGCCTTAAAGCGTACAGCCGCGCGGCTATACTCCTTAAATATATTATTATATTATGTTCACGGGATATAGCCGGGCGGCTATACTGAGGTATTTTGTTTTTTCTTTTTAAAAGTTTGTATAAGGGGTATAGCCGCCTGGCTATACGGAGGCCCTTTTTAAATTTTTTTAAAAATAGTATAGCCGCGCGGCTATATTATTATAATCAGCCGATCGGCTATACTCTTTAAATATATTATTATATTTATATTTAAGGAGTATAGCCGCTCCGCTCAGCTATACAGAGGTCTTTTTTTTTTTTTTTTTTTTTTTTCTTTTCTTTAATTTTTTTTAAAAAAAAATATTAAAACAAATTCCCACAATAATAATATTCTTCTTTTTGGTTTGAACTTCAAGTGCGTAATTTGGAAGCTATTTGGCAGGTTTTTAAAACTATTAGGTGTATAAGATTATTATGACTTGTGTTTGTTTATATATAGCCTATTTATTTATTTTGGGTAAATTTCATTCTAATTCGTGGAATAGGAAAGAAAGCAAAGCCATGGCCTTG